AGAGAGCAAAATAGACAGTTTTCTACAGCCTTATGAAAGAGTTAATGATAAATTTAGAAATCATTTGCCGATTGATGAGTTTGACTATAATAATGATAACAAAATAAGAGAACAAAATTGACGGTTTCTTTCAGCCTCATGTAGAAATGTTGATAAGCATAAAAATTATTTTCCGATATATGTGTTTGGCTACAATCATGATTAAAAAGAACAAGATGAGCAAAATTGACGGTTTTCTTCAGCTTCATGAAAAAGCTCTTGATAAACGTAGAAATTGTTTGTTGATTGATGTGTTTAGCTATAACATTGATAACCAAAAAAAACAAGAGAAAAATAACGATTTCTTATGTCCTGATGAAAGAGCTTTCAATAAATGTAGAAATAATTTGCTGATTGATGACTTTTGCTATAACCATGATAACAAAAAAAAGATAGCAAAATAGACGTTTTTTCAACGTAATGAAAGAGCTCTTGGTAAACATAATAATTATTTGTTCATTGATGAGTTTGGCTATAACCATAATAAAAAAAAAAACAAGAGAGACAAAATTGACGACTTTCTATAGTCGATGAAAGAGATCTTGATAAACGTAGATATCATTTGTTGATTGATGAGTTTGGTTACAACAATGATAAAGGAAAAAATGAGCAAAAGTGACAGTTTTCTCCAGGTTCATGAAAAAGCTTTTGATAAATGTATAAATCTTTTGCAGATGATGAGTTTGGCTATTACCATGATAACAAAAAAAAATAGACAGTTTTCTGTAGTCTAATGAAAGAGCTCTTGATAAACGTATAAATCGTTTGCAGATTAATGAGTTTTGTTATAACCATTATAACGAAAAAATGGGCACAATTGATGGTTTCTGCAATCCGATGAAAGAGATCTTAATAATCGTAGAAATATTTGTTGATTGATGAGTTTGGCTATAACCATGATAATAAAAAAGGAGCAAAAGTGACGGCTTTTTGCAACGTAATGAAAGAGGTCTTGATAAACGTTAAAATTATTTGCTCATTAATGAGTTTGGCTATAACCATGATTACAAACAAGAGAAATAAAATTGACAGCTTTCTGCAGTCCGATTAATGATATCTTGATTAACGTATAAATCATATGTTGAATGATGAGTTTGGCTATAAAAATAATAGCGTAAAAAGAGCAAAATTGACAGTTTTCTGCAAGCTCATGAAAAGCTCTTAATAAACGTAGAAATTATTTATTGATGATGAGTTTGGCTATATCTATGATAACAAAAAATGAAAAAACAAAATTGACGGCTTTCCGCAGTGTGATGAAAGAGATCTTTGATAAAAGTAGAAATCATTTGATGATTTAAGAGTTTAGCTATAACCAGTCTAACAAAAAAGAGCAAAGTTGACGATTTTTGGCAGTCTGATGAAAGGTATTTCGATAAACGTAAACATTATTGGCCGATTGAAGAGTTTTACAAAAACCATAATAACGGTAAATTAGCGAACTTGAAAGTTTTCTGTAGCCTAATGAAAGAGCTTTCAATAAATGTAAAAATAATTTGCTGATTGATGACTTTGGCTATAACCATGATAACAAAAAAAAAGGGAGCGAAATTGACGTTTTTTGTAACGTAATGAAAGAGCTCTTGGTAAATATAAAAATGATTTGTTCATTGATGATTTTGGCTATAACCATAATAAAAAAACAAGAGAGACAAATCGACGACTTTCTGTAGTCCGATGAATGACATCTTGATAAACCTAGATATCATTTGTTGATTGATGGGTTTGGTTACAACAATGATAAAGAAAAAATGAGCAAAAGTGACAGTTTTCTGCAGATTCATGAAAAAGCTTTTGATAAACGTATAAATCTTTTGCAGATGATGAGTTTGGCTATTACCATGATAACAAAAAAAAAAAAGAAAAAATTGACGGTTTTTTGCAGTCTAATGAAAGAGCTTTTGGTAAACGTAAAAATAATTTGCTGAGTAAAAAGTTTTAGTATGACTTTTATAACGAAAAATGATCAAAATTGAAGATTTTTTGCAGCCTGATGTTAAAGTTATTGATTCGCAGAGAAATCATTTGCTAATTGATGAGTTTGTGGCAATAGCCATGATAACAAAAAAAAAAAAATTGACGGTTTTCTGCTGGCTATAACAATTGTAACAATAAAAAGGAACAAAATAGATACTTTTCTATAATTTGTTGATTTATGTGTTTGGCTATAACCATGATAACAAAAAAATGAGCAAAATTTACGGTTTTTTGCAGCCAAAAAAATGAGCAAAATTTACGGTTTTTTGCAGCCAAAAAAATGAGCAAAAAAATGAGCATAATCACTTTCTGATTTATGATTTTGGCTATAACTATAATTAGAAAAAAAAAAACAAAAGGAGCAAAGTTGATGGTTTTCTGAAGTCTGATGAAAGAGTTCTTGATAAGCGTATAAATCATCTACTGAATATGAGTTTGGCTATAACAAAGATAACAAAAAACATGAGTAAAATAACGATTTTCTGGAGTCTAATGAAAGAGCTTTTGATAAATGTAGAAATCATTTATTGATTGATGAGTTTTTGATAATTATGTTGAATCCGGATCTCAGTATTACCAATGAGATGCTTTGTTGGTAATTACTTTTTTATTTTTTTTGTCGTCCACAATCAGAACTCTAAAATTTTCGACGGAACGTTAACTGATTCTGATGTTATAAACCGGGTGTCAGGAATCCTGAAAGCGACGAAGTACCTATCGTCACATGCAAAGAGAATGCTATAAAATGATGACGTTCGTTGTTTTCTTATTGTCTTGAAATTATTGTTTTTTGTTTTTTTTTTATGATTGGCATCTTATTTTCTTACCATTTATAATATTCTTTTATCTCTCATGATTTTACCGTTTATGCACGATAACTTACACTATTTGTATATATTATTATTATGGTGTTGATAATAGAGTGATATATTTTTACCTTTAAATTTCGTTAGTATATATTTCAGTTTAACTGTTGAGATTTAGTTTCTTTTTTCTAAACTTAATTTATTAATCTTATGGATAAATTCTATATCGTTTAATCAATATTCGTTTTTGTTAATTTTCTGATTTAGTTTTTAATATATATTTTCTATTTTTATATTCTTTCCAAATAATCGTTAGGTCTACATATACGCATTGTGCGTTTATACCTCATTGGATTGTTTAGCCGCGTAATCTTTTGATATGGGTTCTACAATGATACCTTTTACCTCTGATTCATGTGATGGTGGTTATTTTCATATTGCGTCTCTTAACCCTAACATGGGTGAGTGGTCTGTCTCGATGAAGATTTTGAATTGTTTGTCTGTTTCGCGTGGCTCGGGTAGAGAGCTCAATATGATTTTGGGTGACGAGCATGTTAGTTTTTTGATAACTTACCTTCTATACATGTTTTCGATATTAAATTGAATTGGTTTTGTCTTTAACGTTTTATTTGCAGTTCACCCAAATCCAAGCCGTTGTTCGTGATGAATTAATTGATAATTATCTTTCAAGATTGATAATCGATGAGTGGGTGAGCATTAAAAATTTTGATGTATCACGTGTTAAAAGCATATTGAGACCAATACCGCATAGATTCAAGATTGTGTTTCGTTCGGACACCTTAGTGCAAAGTATTAATATGTGCTCCAGTAGAACCTATTTCAATCTAACTGAGTTTGTGAGTATATTGAGTGGTATTGTTAATCCGAATATTTGCGTTGGTAAGCCTAATTTATGAATTTATTTGTGCTTTTGGAGTTTATTTGCGATTCATGTTCTGACTGTATTATTCATGTGTGTTTCATAGATGTTTTTGGCAAAATTGTCATCGTGAGAGAGTTGATTTTTGTTCCTTCCGTGGAACATTCTCAAGGAAGATATTTTGAGCTGTACTTTGGTTTACGTGATACTGAGTAAGTCACTATTTTTATAAAGATTTAAACCAGAATATAAAGTCTTATGACTTCTTCAAATCTTAAAATTAGGTGTATCCATCTAGAGTGTCGTTTAACGGGTGACCTTGCAGTCGAGTTCTATGACTTATGGAAGCATTGTTCACGTAACACAGTGATATGTATTATCAAGTTTGTGAAATTAGAGCTATCACAGGAACATAGGTGGAGATGTACAACCGTTACCGAAGTACGAGGATTATGTTGAATCCGGATCTCAGTATTACCGACGAGATGCTTTGTTGGTAATTATTTTTTTTTTCCCGTTTACAATCAAAACTTTAAAGTTGGCGACTGGACATTCACTGTTTATGGTGTTCTAAATCGAATGTCAGGAATCCTGAAAACGACCAAGTACCTATCATCACACGCAAGGAGAATGCCATGGAGTGATGATGTTCGTTGATTTCTTATTTTCTTGGTGAACAGTTTTAAAAGATGATTTATTATTATTTTCTTAGCATTTATAATATTATTGAATTTTTTTAATTTCATCATTTTCCATATTTTACCACACTAAACCCTAGACAATTTACCATATTTTTCTTAAACTACCAAGTAACACCTAAACAATTTCTTATTTCACATGATTTTACCATTCACACAACATTATTCCCGCGCATTTGCGCGGGCAATCACCTAGTTAACACGAAATCCTATCCGTCTGAGCTAAAAGAGATTTCTGTTGAAACCTCATCGACACCGTCTCCATTTTCAGGCAACGTCTCCACTTTCTAATATCATCTTCGATCCAAATCTATCATCAAAGATAAGTGCCACTAACTTGTCATATTATTTAGAATTGATCCATAAACTCATGACATAGTAAGAGACCGAAACATATTGTATAGAGAATAGAGTTCAATCGTCACATACTATGACATATATATAATAGATCGACACACGCTTTAGTATTGAGATATGGTTTTGTTATTGTTTTACAATACACGTATCTTCAATCTACCTATCACATGTTAATAAAACAGAGATATCTGCCTTAATATATCAAATTGAACATTAGATTTGAGGGTCTATTATATTTAGTTCTTTAAGATTCCCTAAACAAAGACTATTTAGTTTTTTTTTTGTTTTTTTTTTTAAGAAAAACTCCAAATCCAACATAAAGATGGCAAAGAACCAACTATAATGCCAAATTGCCAATTAAATGGAATCAATAAACCAATCTTCCAAACTTCTTTTTCAACTCTCTAAATTCAGGTTTCTTCTTTTGGCTTCTTCACGAGTAAGTTCCATAAAGCAGTGGTTAAAACCGTTGATGTCATAAGAGAAGTGCTTATTACATTGTTAACCTGCAGATAAGAGAGAACACAATGGGTTACAAAAAGACAAATTTAGCGTTCATGTGACAAAATCAAGATACAAGAGAGGAAAAGGAGCTGGTAAAAATTAGATGTCTTTTACCTCTACTTCGCCGATACTGATCTCTTGCACGTCGACATCGTCTAAACCCACCTGAAGCTTCTTTAGATAGCCAATGGTCGAGCTTGAGCTCAGAGGTGTTATGATCAGATCATCTGATACTCTAAACCTCATGTTTCCTTTCACAAACCCTTTACATGCAGAGTCATGATTAATAGCACATTGCTCGCATGGACGCTTCACTCGCCTGAAGTTAACTAGGACCATATCATCATAACATAGCAGCTGCTTCTGGCACCTATAATACCATGGAAGTATTAACATAGACGACAGACTTGTGTTTTTGTCACAACACAACTCCTTGAAGCTTCTAAAAAGATTTCCGATACATCCATGAACCGCATTATCACCAGAAGTTTCCAACACAAATTCCAAAGAAACAGCAAGAACTAGAAATAGAAGATTCACAAAATCTTCACAGCCTTCAAAATATATAACCTTCTTGTCCTGCTTTCGAACAACTACATTGAAAGTTATCAAGTCTGATTCTGTCTCATTTCCACTTTCTTGTAGACCATGAATCATTGTCTTATGCAACCTGTTCATATTACAAGAGCTTTGTTTCCTAAGGAAAGCGTCCGTCAAAGGAGTGTCAGACGAGAATAAACAGTCCAACAAGGCGAGTACCTAATTATTGTTCAAATGCAGAGTCAAAATATGAAAAATATAAAGCCCTAATGAAATCAAAGTAGAATAAATACCTCTTCAGAACCAATGACAATAAGTGATTCACTCAACTTTTCGACATCCGCATAACCCTGATCTTTGATCACTTTAAGAAACACATCAGTAGAGTTATATTGCACTACCATATTATCAGTAATGATAAACGAAGGTTGGCCATAAAAAAATACTCCATCAACGTCGTAACCTACAACATCGCTTTCCATCTTCGTCTCTATCCCCATCTCCGTCATTATCCCCATCTCCGTCATTTCGCCACATGTACATTTTCGTCTATTCGAACTGCGCAAAATGCCTTCTTTACAATTTGTGCATATAGAGAACTTGCAAGCCTCGGTGGTATCGTTGATGTTTAGCTTTAGCTTTGGGAATATATGATCGTTGAAACCTCTCGGATACAAAAGCATATGTTTACATGCTTCAGTGAGAAAGTTATCAATCTCCAAATCTAAAACACTTTGATAAATGTTGCTGAAACAACACACTGAAGCTTGGTGAGATTGTTTCTTGACCAATCTTACGATTGTACCCATTTGGAGTTTAAGAAAACTAAAGAGAACATCAACAAAATCTTTACGTGCTTCCACCAAAACAATCTTGTTTTTCTCTTTATCAACTAGAATTTTCAGACTTATCTTTGACATTTGAGATATGAAAACAATACAAAACAAAAATTATAAGACAGACTCACAGAAGAGAAGAAATAGAATCTTTGAACTATGTATTGTTTGGTTCATATATGCTAATTTATACTGAAAAAAATTCCCAATTCCGAGATGAAAAAAATTACCAAGTTCCAAAATCTTTTTAATTATTACTCGTTCATAATTCCCATTGACCATTGTGAAAACCAAAGAAGGAACAGTCTCTATTTAATGATCAGTCAAAACAAGTTATGAGGAATGCTAAACCGAATTAAATAAAATTCACTTCAATTTGGTGATGTTTGGTTTTTTTCCGGTTCGGTTCGGCTATGAACGGTTCGAATCCATATTAAAATCAAATGATGTCATTAGCAAACTCTTCCTTCGAGTTATAATAATCTGAAACTGAGTTTAAAAATTTCTCATTTTTCGAGTTTCTCGGTCTCTTCATTGGTTGTTTAACTTTGAATATTGGAACTCAAAATTTGAATATTTTTGTAATTTGATTCTTGTTAATGGGGAAAACTTATGGACACTGTGAAATTGATTTTCTTAGCCCTTTTGATTTGCAGCAAAATAAAGTGCAATATGGTGAAGATCTTTAGGAATTTTTTGTTGCTACCTAAACCGCTAATTCAGCTTTGTTCTAGATTTGCTTAAATATTCTTGACTTTGATTCTTGTTAATGGGAAACAAGATATTTATGTACATGGTGAATTTGATTCTTATAAGGAACTTTGTTGCTAATAAACAGCTTTCTTAAACCCGCTATTTCAGCTTTACTCTAGTTATTTTTGGTTTAACTTTTTGTTCTTCAAATATTTATTTTGTTAACACCAAATTATATCCACATTCTTTGGTATATAATATGATTTTTGTAGATTAAACCATGTCACATTAGCATCAAAATACAAAATTTCTTTAGATTATGTTGATTAAAATGGTGTCAATCACAAGAAACCTATACTTTATAAATTTGATCAAGAAACTACTCAGAAGTGTTCTTAAAAATAACTTCGTTTTATGACCAAAATGAATAATGGACCTTACGTTAAAACCAGTTTAAAATCAAATCTATTAGAAACTGACTTCGTCTATGACGTGTATAATTCTAATTGGTTACGATACACAATGTTAAAATAGTTCCGAGTAGAGAGTAGAAAAGTCCTCACAAGAAGCTCTAACAAAATTTTCGTCCGGCTCCGTTTTTGCTACAGCTTTCTCCGGTTGATGGCGTTCAGGTACGTTCTGGTTAGCCTAGTGATAGGATACGTCGATACGAATTAGGCCTTGTTGGGCTTCTTAATGGGCTAATTGTTTAAGCCTGATATCTTAGTAATTGTCTTCTATCTAAAGAGATGTATTTTTAGTCTCTGCAAACGTTTATCGAAATAGATCACAAAAATGTTTATCTCTTCCTTCGTCTCCTCTCTTCTTTCTCTTTTCATCTGATTTCTTCTTCTTCTTAACTCTAATCCTTCTCTGAATCTCACCTCCTTATGTTACTCACTTGATAAGCTATTTCTGTAGATTGTTAACGAACCCATTGGAGAGAGAATTCAACTATCTTCGCTAGTAGAAATTTTTCGTATAACCACGGTTTAGCCATGGACATTCGTGGCTAATTTCATACCAGCCACGAATTAGTCACTAAAAAACAACGTGACAATTTTCGTGGTTTCTGGTGGTTTTTCGTGGCTAATTTTTGCTACGAAAAAGCCACGAAATTTTCGTGATTATTTTATTTTCGAATTTATTTTATTATATAGCCATGAATTTGCTATAGATAAAATCCGTGGCTAGACGAAAACCTAAATCTTAAAGACAAACTCTAAATTTATAAACTCTAAACAAAAATCTAATTACCAATGTATACCCTAATTAAAATTAAGATCCAACACTTTTATAAAATTCTTAGTTTTGAAATCAAACATTTCAAATCTATACCCCAAACCCCCAATTTAACTCCAAATCCTAAAATCTAAACTTTAATTAAAATTTTCATTATAGAAACTAAACCATAAACCATCAAACCAAAATATAACCATTACATTTACATAAAACCAATATTTAGAACCATTTACAAAAAAATCAGTTGTTTGTTAAGAAGAAAATAACAAAATATTTGAAATCTAATCAATTTTTTTAACCCTAAACCAAAACATAATCAGTATAATAAACTAAAATCAAATAAAAATAAAGTTTTAAAATATAATCATCATTTTATAAATTATAAACTGGAAACCATAATTAATAAATATATTGAACAAATAAAAACAAATGTATTTAATAAAAACACATACAAACAAAAGTTATAAAAAATATAGACAAAATGCAATAAAAGAGACTTGCTTCTCATTGGTTACGCCACATTGACGAGGATCACAGTTTTGTTGATCATCCACCATTGATAACATTAAATCTAACGGACATAAATCTTCCTTTTATTTTGTTTCTCATTCCCAACAAAAGCAATTACTCTCTTCTTCTTCTCTCTCTTTTTTACGATCTCTACTTCTCTTTTCCTGTTTCCTTTTTGTTTTTGGGTTGGAAAAACCCACCCCCAAATAGTTGGGGTTGAAAATGGCCGCTTTTCCGCCACGTCAATGCCACGATATCGCTGACTCAGCAGCCGTTAAATCCCGAACTAACACCGTCTTCTGTCGTGTTAAAATCGGCTAATTTTCATTAGTTTAGGTTTTGAATTTGAATTAGTTTTGAGTTTGGATAAAAATTGACGGGGGGCCTTAGTTTGGGATGGAAAAACCCGCCCCCAAATAGTTGGGGTTGAATGTGTTTTTTTAATAAGTAAACTAGACTCTCATTTTTATTAAAATCCTGGGCCGTCTTTAAAAGCCCAATAAAGGCCCAAACGTTCTCTATAAATCTATAATATTTCGACGTAAACGGCTAAACCCTTTTGCCTTCTCTGCTTTTTCATCCAAAGTCCAATTAGCCCCTCTCTCTCTCTCTCTCTCCTCGCCGGAGATGAGCTAGATTCCTCCGTCACCACCGCATCTCACCGGATATTTTCCTTCCGTCATTCTGAAATAATTCAACTAATACACCAATTTTTACTCGGTAGAAACTGTCGATGGCAACCATTGTAGCTGTAAGTCACAGTTTTTTTTTTTTTTGTTTGGACAAAACCCTGTTTCGTGACTGTTTTTGTTGATTGCTGTGACAGAATAAAGAATTTACGGGAAACCCAAGACGACAACTCGCTAAGCTCTTTGAGGTGTCTCTTAAATTAACAGTTCCTGATGAACCTAATGTTGAGCCCTTGATTGAGCCTGGAAAATTTGGAGATTACCAATGGTGCTTCCTCTTTCACTCTAAATACTAATTAAACTTGTTTTCTGTTTGTTTAACTTCATCATATTGTTGTTGTTTGCAGTAACAATGCAATGGGACTATGGTCCTTTATCAAAGGAAAGGGTACACAGTTCCGTGGTCCTCCCGCTGTTGGACAGGTTGGTTGGTTGGTTTGGTCTAGGCTTTTTATCTCTTTTAACTCTTATTATGTTTTGTTTTTTCACTTAGGCTCTTATTAAGAATCTCCCTAGTTCTGAGATGGTGGAATCATGCTCTATAGCTGGACCTGGATTTGTTAATGTTGTGCTATCAGCTAAGTGGATAGCTAAGGTGATCATGTTGTATTGTCATTTTATAGTTCTTTCGTATTAATAATTTTGTGTTTGTCATAATTGTTTTGTAATCTATCTGCAGAGTATTGAAAATATGCTTGTTGATGGAATTGATACATGGGCGCCTACTCTTTCGGTTAAGAGAGCTGTAGTTGATTTTTCCTCTCCCAACATTGCTAAAGAAATGCATGTTGGTCATCTAAGATCAACTATTATCGGTGACACGCTTGCTCGTATGCTCGAGTACTCTAAGGTTGAAGTTCTACGTAGAAACCATGTTGGTGACTGGGGAACACAGGTAGCTAGCTACTTTTCTGCCCTTTATATGATTTCTTAACCTTGAAACCGAGTTTTTTTATATATTTTATTCCCGAAATTTATCGAAGAAATAAAAGCTGCTTTTATTCTGCAGTTTGGCATGTTGATTGAGTTTCTCTTTGAGAAATTTCCTGATACAGATAGTGTGACTGAGACAGCAATTGGAGATCTTCAGGTCAGCTGCCTTGCATCATATGGCTTCTCAAGCTTTACCAATATTGGCATAATATGCTTCATGTGAAAAACCATAGCAATATAGTTTCTAACTTTTGATGTCCTCTGATAGATGTTTTACAAGAAATCAAAATTGAGATTTGATTTGGATCCGGAGTTTAAGGAAAAGGCACAACAGGCTGTGGTCCGTCTACAGGTAAATAACAATTTTTATCCTCAATCACTGGTGCATTCTTCTGTTTCTCAGTGTCTCAATTTGCAGCTACCTTTAGTTGCAAAATCTAAGTCACTCACTTGTCAAAAAAAATTCTTTGTTTTAGGGTGGAGATCCTGTTTACCGCAAGGCTTGGGCTAAGATTTGTGAAATCAGCCGAAATGAGTTTGCCAAGGTGTACCAACGCCTTCGAGTCGAGCTTGAAGAAAAGGTAAAGGAATAGTTGGGACCTATACTAAATTATAGAGACAGAATGGGAAAGAGATATACATGGATGTGTAATGGAAAATACATTGATTTATGACAGGGAGAAAGCTTTTACAACCCTTATATCGCTAACGTAATTGAGGAATTGAGCAGCAAGGGGTTAGTTGAAGAAAATGAAGGTGCTCGTGTGATATTCGTCGAAGGCTTTAACATCCCACTCATGGTTGTAAAGAGTAACGGTGGTTTTAACTATGCCTCTACCGATCTGACTGCTCTTTGGTGGGCTATCTTTATGTTAATCTGGACTTTAGTAGCAATGTTTGGAAAATACATCTCATATATTATGACTTCCGTATTGTCTGATGGTGCTAAAATCTTCCTGGCCCAGGTATCGGCTTAATGAAGAGAAAGCTGAGTGGATTATATATTTGACCGACCTTGGCCAGCAGCAGCACTTTCATATGTTCTTCAAAGTA